ATCTCTCTCTCTCTCTTTAGCGAGAGCGACTCACTGTGAAGAGATAATGCGACTTCTCGAAATGACGAGCAGCACTCTCGGATTTCCATTTTTCCGCTGCCGTTCTTTTCACATCCGGCTGCAGTCGAGGCCGAGACGAAAGGCGGCAGTATTTACCAATAATGGATCTAAACAATGTAGCGCAGCAGCCCAAGGAGGAGACGTAAATGCTGACGGCGGGAGTCGCGTAATAAATTTTAGCGAATTCTGCATTTTATCAGATCGGGCCGAGAGAGAAATTCCGCCCACGGGCGAAGCAGAGCGAATAATAATCCGCCCTCTCTCCGCTTCCGTAGGCTTTGTCTCGCTCCAGACCTCGAAATCAAGTCCTAGCCGGATGTTTCATATTGAACAAGTAGCGTTAGAGGCTAAGAAAGGGAAGGAGGCAAATTTTCCAGAGTATATTGCAGAGACATTGTTTCTTCAATTAGTTCTTCAGTTAAAAATGCAGATAAAACAAATTAAAAATAAACTTCAAGTGGAGGTTAATCATAAGTCAATAATGAAGAAGACCAATAATTAATTATTATTCTCACGAAATGAGTATTTAAATATGTTCCTCATTTTCTAAACATTATTTAGAAACACAAAAATAGAACTTTAAAAGAAAATATATTATGAAAGTTAAAATTTTGTCAATAAAAGTATTTAGAAAATACTCTAAAAGATGACATAATATTATAGAAATATAAAATAATATTAAAAAAATTTAATTATAAATATGTAATTTTTCAGTATTAAATTTTATTTTCATGCTTCCCAAAATTATTAGAAATAAATTTACATTAATATATTTCAAAACATTAGTTGCAAATTAAGTTTTATTATTACTTTTTTTTTATTAAAAAAACTGAAGATTTTGACTGGTAAAATTTTTTTGAAAATTTTTAAACCCTTTTTCATTATGTGTTCATTTTCCCTTATTACAAAAACGGTTCCTGTCTATTTTTTTTCTTTTTGACACGGAGAGTGGTGGGAACATTTTTATAGGAAAACCTTTCACGGCACCCATTAGGGTTTGCGCACTCTTTCTCTCACTCTCCTGTTGAGCCGATTTTCAACGAGAAGAGATGATTTATTTATTACACGTCACGTGCGCTTAAGAGCGAAGAGCGCCGCCCCGCACCTAATTACCTCACTTTTCCATTTTGAATATTAAAAAATGAGGCGGCGGCGGCGAGCAGGCAGGCAGCTGTGTTTACGTGCCCGATGCACGATAAAATATTATCTCTGGCTGCTGGGGGTGATGAATAACCTTTGGTGAATGCCGCGCGCGCTGTCTTGCAATATTTACAACCCACCGCGGAAAAGAATCGATAATTTATGCATGCAGCGAGCGCTTCCCCGGCCGTTCTCTGCCTCGCTGCACTCACCTGTTTTTTTCCTTTTTCCCAAGAAAAGCAAAAGCCGGCCAGGCGGACCGGCAGTCTCATCGTTCTAAAAGGTTTTCCGGCCGAACGCTGATTGGACTTGCTCCTTCTTTTCAGCCAGACTAACAGCTTTTAACTAAGACGCCGCTTTATTGATTGGCCGGCATAATGATATCGACAGACTGTCCATTTGAGTTCTTGACAAGTCCTGATTAACGCCAAAAATTCTATGGGGGAAATAATGTCATCAATTTTATGCTAAAAAATATCACGTTGTTATAAAATAATTCTTTTTTAGCAATGAACGCTAGAGAATGAAACTAATATTTAAGATATAATTTACTAAGGTCATCATTTTTTAGTTATTTATAAGTTTTATAACTATCTTGATATTTTTAATCAACCGAAACAATTTGCGAGAGAAATTGTTATGCTTAAAAAACTTAAAATAATTTTGTAAAGAAATGAATAAAAATTAATTGAACATGTATCGAAAAATTATCTCTTTTAATATAAATCAACATATAATAATTGAAGTAGTATTTTCCCTGACCGATTTTTAAATTAATTTATAGTTATTGTGACACAATAATGAATATTTCAAATTTTTCCTATTTATTTACTCTAGCAATGATAATTCCATAAGCGAACAAATAATTCAGACAATTTTAATTTCAAAAATCAATGACATAGAAAAGTGCAAACCTCGTGTTCAACTAAAAAACCGGTTCCATTTCTAACTGACTCACGCACACGTTTAATTTTAATCGAGGGCCGATCGTGATTTTTTTCACCAAAATCGCAGCCGCCGTCATAAAGTCCTAATCAAATTAATTGCAATGGCCCGCAGCGCGATTGTTTTACACGGATTTGTTATTTTTTTTCCACATACACACATAAGCACGCACCAATCACGGCGGCCCGGCGGCGGCGGCGGCAGAAAAAAGCGGCGCAGGAAAAGAGGTTGATAAATTGCTGTAAAACCAGGCGGTGTAAAAAGGGTTCGAACAAAGTACGGGAGGCGGTGGCGTAAAAAATTGAGAGTGTATCGATTGTGTGTCACAGTCATGAATCAAATGTAAAAAGCGGCATTGATTGTGCCCGTCGCTTGATTGGCTGAATATTTTACCCTCTGCATCTCTCTCTCTGTGCTTTTTATTGCAGCTCCAACGTTGACTGAGCACACACCATTTTTATTTTATTTAAATGCCCGCCTGCTGATAATGCCGCATTATTTGGTGCATTGCAAACAAACTGTCTGCCCGTAGAGCCGCCCTCTGTTCTCTGCTCTCGATTTTGCAATATCGGATCTCGGGGCGCACTCGGATACACGGGTGGAAAAATACAATGTAAAAAATGCGACATCAATCAATATGAATGCTGCAACCGAGCTGAACGGTGCAGATAATACCAGAGAAGTGTCCGTTTCTCTAAAACTTGCACTCATTTCATAAATAAAAAGCTAAATATTGTTGATTTTGTTAAATTTAAAAGAGATCTCTTGATTAACAATAATAGAAGACAAGTGAAAAATATAAGAAATATAGTAATTATGACTGCAATCCCAATATCATCTAATTTGGTGTGCTATGATTATCATTTTTTTTGTTCAGATTATTTCATAATTCATGAACTTTATTTATATTGATGGCTACAATAAGGCAAAACATGACGATATACCTTGTCAATAATTATAATAATAGTGATTAACACAAATAATTTATAAAATTACTAAGTATATATATTTTTTTTTTCAAATGCGATAGAACATTTTGCTATAAAAACATTTAATAATGTTTACACTTAATATTAATGTAAATAAATAAAATAAAATAGGCAAAATAATGTCAATGGTTAAAAATCTCGAATAAGTTTAAAAATAAAAATATAAATAATAATAAAAAAATGTGTGTGTTTTTTTTTTTAAAGTTAACATATTTTTATAGATTACTTTCTGTTATTCTAAAAGTTTTTTCAAAATTAACGTCAACAAAATTCAAACTTTTGTTCTAGATATTGAATGATTTAAATATGCATGGATTTCACGGCTGCTGAGTGTGATCGTAATTCGTTCGGAACTTAATGCATTACACGGTTCGCTTTAACGTTGGACGCGCATGTGAAAAGTCAGAGCGGAGAATTATTATTGAAACAAGCGAGTGCGACGTGAGTGCGTTTGTGCGCGCGAAATTGTCTTCGGGCGAGCAATTAAAGCCACCGGTGCAACGATGGATAATTTATTTGCGCGAGCTAATGCAGAATTGATGTCGAAACGGGTCCGCAACCATTAAGCTCTTGGCAAATAAATAGATATGAGCGGCGGCGGCCACGCTTGATTTGCCGAAAGCGCATTGGCTGACCATTCGCTGAACGTCACTCGCAATTTGATTATCATTATTTAAGCCGTTTCGCCATTAATTTTAATGCACGGCCCGCTCGCCACCGCATTAGTAGTAAAACTCGCGCAGGTCGTTGACAGCGTCGCGGTTTTGTGTGGGTATGCAACCGGCACGGCGCACTTGCTGCACACGTTGCATAATCGAATCCAGGCAGGCTGTGTTGGTTTCGCAAAACCGAGGCAAACTAACGAAACGTGCGACTTCCCTCCGGGGGCTGCGCAAAATTGGCTTTGAAATTCTCATCAGAACACGCTAGTTTTGCTAAATCTAAAAGCATTTCTTGTGAAATATTTTCTTCTAATTATTTGCAAATGTAGAGAAAATGTCATTAGCTGATAAGCGCTGGAAGCTATTTGCTTAAATTTTTAATATTTCCTTTGGATTTACCTTGCTCACAGTGCCTCGCAGCTAATCGTTTTTTTTTTTACTTATAAAATTGAGCTACCGCGCACGTCTCTGTCAACGATGATGTGGTTCAGCGTAATTTTCAATCACTTCAGCCGTCAGATGCATCAGAACCAGCACTGCTGTGGCGTGAAATTGCATATTCTCTGTAATGGATTCACTCGAGCTCTCTGCACTTAACTACTGCAAAATCGGTTTAATTTCACTGATTGCATTGCGTAATGTAATTTCAATTAATTATAGAATGGTTTGACCTACCTATGTATCTTGGCTCAAAGAGATTATTATAAGAAGATGAACTAAAATGAAATCACGAATTTCCGAAAATTATCTTGTAATTTTTAGCAATATTAAACTGTATATTTATCGGGAATTTGTTTAATTTGCAGATCCAATTAAAAAAAGGAAAACGTAATAATTATCAACATTTTGACTGTGATAAAATTGTAAATTATTATCATCATTCCACGTTCTTTGTAACATTTTAAATCGTATGAATTATGATTGACTGATAAAATAAATTAATTCAAATAAAAATAATAATCCCACAAACAAAATATAACTAAATTAGATCTAAATATACAAACGGCAGAGATTCAATAGTCGGATGGCCAGATATTTGCAAGAGGGTGAGAAAAAAACGGGTTATATGACATTGCAAAGGGAACGAAAAATCGCCCGATTCAAGCAAAATCAACCCCTACTAACTAAGAAAGGATGTGAGAGAGGTTTTGAATATTGCATCTCTGCTGTCGGAGGAACAAAAAAAGGTAGGTTTGAATCTGACCTTCGACTCTCTCGGCCCGCGACTTACTTGGCGGGGCGGTGCCTCTGCTCTCCATCACCGCTTCGCGTGGCTTCTCGCCCTCGACGCTCTCCTCGTTGCTGCGCCAGTAGACCGAGGCGATCGTGGCCAGGCACTTGAGCTTCATGTCACTCTTGCGAAAATGACGCGGCTTCACCTTAAACTCGAGACCCAGAGTCGAAGTTTCCAGGTCGTCCGAGTCGACGTGATAGTACGGCCCGCGCAGGAAATTCGAATCAGCCTGGAAATTTAAAAATTGACTCATATAACGTTGAAAAAAGCCTTTATGGGAATTTGGTGAAAAAAGATATTAAAGTAGCCAAAACGTTACCTTAAACCGGTAGAGTTAAAATTAAATAATGCAATAACAGCTTAAGTATTATTTCAAAATGTACAAGAAAATTTTAATTTGAATTATCATGAAATTATTTTATTGGAGAAGGAAAGTTCATTTTGTAACAAATAATAATAATTTTTTATTTACTATTTCATTTCCACATTTTCTGATCCTTTATGGAGTTTTCATTTAAATTGAGTTAATGTGAATTAAGAAAGAACTAACAATGTCAAACATAATTCAGGGGATACCTCCATTGTGATCTGTAGTGAATCCCTACAACTACTTATTATTTTAAAATTCCGTTTTTTACCTAATTGAGTACTTTCAACTTAAAAGTCAAATTAAAAACAATTTTTTTATTGAAATTATATAAAAAATTATTTTAAAAAGAATAAATAACATAAAAATTATTTATAAAAATTAGAATAAGTACTAGAATAATAAAATTTTAATAGAAACAAAATAGATATTATGATACATAATATTAGATTTTAATTTTTTTTAACAAATTTTTCTTTTCATGTAATTTTTAAAGATGGGGCAGAAAACAGGGAATGCTTGCTTGGGTGGGTGACAAAAACAATGGCACTCGACGGGAAGCACCGCATCAGCAAAAATAATCAGCATTTTGCGGCGTTCAATAATTTATTGAAAATAAGAAGTGCGGAACGAAACAAGCGCCCTTGCGAGCTTTTGTTATTGAGGGCCTGCGCTGCGAGTCGAGCGGCGCGCGTGTGTTAATTAATTAATTAAGGGACGGTGGGTCGGCTCTCGGGCACGTACCAGCTCGCTGTTGATGAACCACTGCAGTGTGGCCGCCGGTTTGGAGCGGGCCGACGTGCAATTAACTCGCACCATATCGCCAATTTGGTAGCGCGGCCGACCGCCGGAGATGCGCGGCCCGTCTTTCGGCATCGCTGCGAACAAGCAAATTACACACAACAGATTAGACAAATTCCACCTTGTGCAGCTGCATGCTCGGCACGAACGCCCAAATCTCTGATGACTTGTTGCCGCGGCCGACCTGCAATGGTCTCGCCCCAAAGGAGCAGAAACACACTTGGCCGGCAACAAGCCCGCAGAGCTCAGACTTTCAGAGCAATTTGATCTGAAAATTTATTCAAAATCTGGCCTATTCAATAAGGTTAGAACTTAATGAGAATTTTTAAGCACTTTATGCAATTTTTCAGTGGGGAATTTTAATTATATTTCCAATTTTTTTATGCAAAATAATACTTAAAAATATAGCTAGCTTAATATTTACTTGTTATTTTATTCAGTTTTAGTCCTTGAAATGAATCTTCACTTAAACTCTCATTTACAGCTGATTTAAAGTTGGAATTTAAGGGTTCTTAAAATAAGATAATTAATAAAAACTTGGTTATTTTTCAACTGAAAAAAGAAATAACTAAATTTTAATATCATTGTTTGTATTTATTCAAAATTCATCTTGCCTATTGAGATAATAGTTTGTTCAGTTATTTAATTATGCAGTTTTATTTATAATTTAAATTTTTAATAATAACACAAATTTGAAAATAAGAGGATTTTCCTATTAAAAATTGAATTTAAAGATTCATCAGCAGCTAGTAAAGAAATTAAACCTTTACCACAAGGAACATCAATCAAACCATAACTACAGGATGATTTCTGTTTGAATTTCTCTCGATGATTAGCATCGAAATCGATGCTGAATTGTTTGCTTGGCGCCCATTTCCAACTTTGAAAACATTGGCATTTGATCAACAATGATGAATTACGGCGAGAAACATACATAGCATGATGATCACCGCCGTGGACGTCTCTCTCTCCCATACTCTGGTGATGCAACGCGATTACTGGTGCATTTGCATATGTTTGGCCAGCAGCGGTGGCGGCGGATCATACTTTGCGATCGTGTGTTGATGATGTTTGCCGCGTTGTCCATAATTTATGGGCAAACACGGCGGCGCCAGGGAGAAGTGCAGCCCGCTGACAATGCGGTCCAAACAAAGCTCAGCGAAACATCAATTACTGACGCCGCTTGCTCATCCCACAGGAGAAAAAAAACCGGTCGCATTGCTTTCCCATCGCGAGTCGAGATTTAATTATGATGTTGGCGTTTGTCCTGAATATGCAAAACTCGACCTCTGCACAGCACCCGCCCATTGAGAATTTAGTTTTGAAATAATGAGATGCTCAGCTCAGCGGCGGCTGATCGTGACATATCAACATAATAACATGCTTGAATGACGTGTTCGCAGACTAAAATAAAATGTGAATTTTAAGCAAAAGAAGATTTAAATTTGTATAAATACATATATTATTTAAATGTATGTTTTGTTTAATATCCTAAAATCATCAGCAAAAATTCTGATTTTTTTCATAAAGTTTGGTTGAGTAACAACTTCAATATTATATTATTTTTGTTTGAAGATATTGACACTAAAGGAGATTATCATGGAAATGAAGAGATCGGGCTTTTCCTAGTTGCAAAAATGGTTTTTATTCAAGCCGTCTTTTTTAATAAAAACAATTTTTTTGCAACAAGGAAAAGCCCAATCTCTTCATTTTCAATATAAAATGTTAAAAATTTAAATATTAAAAATATGTTTCAACATTCACTAAATATAAAAAGCAAGACTCATTCATTATTAGGTCAAAAGATGTCATGCTAATTTGACATTAGCCAAGCATATTTAATGGAAAAATGGAGGCCATGCTCATGTTTTATTATTTTAAAACAAAAAATGTATCTTCTATGAAAGATATTTCATATTTTTTTTATATCACCCGTCTTAAAGTTTTTGAGATTTTTTAAGTATATGATAAATTTTTAGCTTTTAAATTTAATTTTGAATTCGTAGATTTTGAAAATATCAGTGAATCGCCGGATAGAAAACTTCAGCAAGTCACATTGGAATAAAAAGGAAGAAAATGTTCTTGTTCCCAGATAAGGCGTCAAGAGAAGGAAAGAAGTTCCAGAGAACGTTTTGACGCTCGACGCGATAACGCCGGCGAGTTGGGCGCACGGAGCGACTACACGGAAAGATAATTTCTTCTCCTTGAATTGAAACACTTTGCGATTAGGCGGAGAAAGAAAACGAGAGAAAGGTGCTTTCTGTCCTCGCTGGCCGTACACACACTCACAGAGCTATACGTCTTCATTGTGAATACCCTGCAGTGTGATGGATTATATTTCTTCGTCGGTCTTACTTTGCCAGCGAAAGCAGCTTTGCCTCCCCAGCATTAGCTGCTGCTGCTAACTAAACAAAGATATATTATCGCGCGCGCCGCTGCTAAATTATTATTTCAAAACAGTGACGAAGTGCTCTCGCTGCTACTTTGCCGAAGCGAAACTCGGCCCAGATTTTTCGCCAGATTTATCAAATTACGCTGTGAAAAATTACACCGTGCGCCGCTCGACGGGTGCAAGATAAGGAAATTAGATACACACAAGCTGCCTGCCAGCATCTCCATGTTGTCGTTGTCACTCTCATATTCAAATAAATAATAGGTGCAAGTAAACACACAATAATATATAAAAATTAAATGGCAACTATATATATGTATAAGATAATAATTTTTTGTGTACTCTTAATTTAATAAATGTATTCATTAATTTTACGCTTACAAGTTATTTTAATTAATATATTATTTTTTATAAGAATTTTTATTTTTATTTTTAATCTTCTTTTTCATTCAAAACTGTTAAAATTTAATTATAAACGGATTTAGAAATTGAAATGTAATTATTAATTACATCAAGAGTCACGCTGTAACTGATGAAAAGAATACGTCAATCAACTAATCTGGACAAGGAGTGACGGTGGGCATAATTATTTAGATTTGATTTTTTAATCATAGAATAATAATTCAAATAAACGACGTGATTTATCTTCCATTTAAAATAATTATAATCTAACCCCAACCTGAAAATTCGTGTAATCACTGAAATTGTCCATCATTGCATTTTATTTTCATTTTTTGGTGTCCTAACTGTTTTCTGAATAAAACCAAAGATTGATTGTGTAATAATTAGATTGCATTTTAAAATCATAATGAAATGATCCAATTTTGACATTATTCTCTACTTTTTTTGAAGTATTGAAAGCGTTTCTGGCTCTAAATCTAATGCGCGTTCTTTCACAGACGAACAAACGAGTAGGGCAGGTAAAACAATATAAAACACAAATAAACTGCAAAGGCGAGCACAGAGGGAGGACAGACAGGGTGCGTTTTATTTTATCACACAACACACAGGGAGCGAGAAAGAGGAGTCTTTAGCAGCGCGAATCTCGTGTTTCACAGCCTTTGTCACCGATCTCCTTCTGAATAAAAGAGAAAAGCGCCCTGCACGACGAGCAACGCGCGTTCCACTCTTTATCACATTTGACGTCCGTCAGCCCCTCGCTCGCTCGCTCGCTCGCTTCCGTGTGTTATTCGCACACCCAGTTTACCTCGAGCCCTTTTCTCGCTTTGTCTTCTTTTGCAAGGCAAAGCGGCGTCTTTTTTGCGCTTGTTAGGCTTCCCTTTTGCTCCACCTCCCTTGTTATAAAAGCAAAAACAATTTGCCGCCGCCTCCATCGAGCATCAAGTGGAGCAGCGGCGTCGCGAAATTGAATCGCACATACGCGATTATGGTCTTGGTGGGCACGACAAATTTGTGCTGAAAGCAGCCTTTCACAAGATATAATCGGCCGCTTCCGAATGTGCCACGTCTGGCCAAAACGGGCTTATCTGTCATCATTTTTTATTTCAGACAAGTTGAATTTGTACTTTATTATATTTCAGGAAAATTGTAGAAAAATACGTTTATCCTGGAACAATTGAATATAAAATTAAGAAATATTTATTTTTGAAATTCTTATGATATCTGTTAATATTTGTTGTATTTGTTAAAAATTAAATAAGGGACACAAAAATATCAAGATCAGAAATTAATCCTCATAATTTTTTATTAATATTTGATTTATTTAGCGATTTTGCCCTTTTTTCCGCCTCAATTAGAAATTCTTGCATTATCTTCAATTTGGGGATAAGTAAAAAGTTATTTTTAGTCTTGGGAATCGATTTACGCGTTCAAGTAGCTAACAGATTGCATATAATTAAATAATATTGACCTTTAATACTTGAGCAAAATATTTTCGTTTCCATGTAAAAAAATCCGTTTTGCAATGAATTTAATAGCAGCACTTATTAAACAGACTAGATCCTTTCTGGGAAAAAGAAGTTCAGAAACTGTTAAAGAAAAATTATTGAGAAACTTTTGCGGCTTATACTTGTAGCACAAAATAGATACGCTGCGGTGGAAAAGCGGGAAAATCCGCAGCAAATGATATATTTGAGCAGCTCGGCGCACACAAAGCAATAAAAATGATCATCCGCCTCTTTCGCTCACTCGTGTGCTCAAAGCGGGAGAAAAACAGAGGCCGAGAGAGGAAGTAGGCCAAAGTTGGCGAGGAGTAATAAAATTAAAGAGTTCCAACAGAACATAAATAATGTTGGTTTTTATTGGAGGCGAAACGGAGTGCGAGAGAAGACGGAGGAGGAAACAGTCGGGCAGGCCTGCGAGCAGCAAGTTGCCGATTACAAATCTAAGTCATCAAAGTTGGATTGATGATTGAGTTAGTGGATGCGCAAGCGAGCAGAGCGAATTTCCCACTCCAAGGAGCGAGTCAATGCAGAGTCAAATTTATCGTCTCCGACGAATTCCTCCACGCAAATCCAATCCCCTGATTTTGCAGCAGCTGCTCCAGTGCAGAAAAAAAATAATTAGATTTTGATCTAGAAATTGTGGCAAATTAAAATTATACATGCTGGCGGCCCTCTTTGCGCTAATGTTTTAATCTCGCGCTGCACTGGCACAATTAAAACGCGCCACTTTGTTCGCACATTCGCGAGTGCAAACCCGAAACTCTTTTCGCCCACCCGCGTA